CGAAGATTGCATAATAAATGATGTCAGAAATGATCTTATGGTTTATCTTTTCCTATAAATGGGCTTTGTGCTTCAGAATTGTGAATATATTTTAAGGAGTTATTTGCCATTGGAGAAACAAAAAGAGACATTGTTGTATGGTGAATAAAATAATGGATATCATTTTAAGCAGGTGTTTGGGATGGAGAATGGAAGAGACATTACGGATAAGGAATAGGGTGAACGCACATTTGGGAGACTCATATCTAGAAGTTCTTTTCATGATCAGCATTGAAGGCCTGTCTCATTTCTGATGGACACAGTACCCAACAATTCAGAAGCAAGCTACTTGGCTGGTGGTGGAGTATCTAATCTAATGGGATGTGGAGAAAAAAAGTAATGTTTTTAAAGTCAGATGTGCTAGGTGGAAAACCAGGCTTTGGTACTTGCTACCTGTGCGACCTCATGTAATCTTGCCTAGATTTCAGTTTCCTCATCTATAAAATGCTGGGATCAGACATTTTCTAAGTAAAAGATAAGGGAAGTGTAGAGAAGGGGAAATGCCCCAGTGTTCGACAAAAAGGAAGAATACTGAGTCTGTGAACTAAAAACTGATGAGGGTGACTTTCATTCCCAGGGAAAATTCTAAAATAGGTCATTAAAAAGAGGCTTAGTTAGTATCTAGTACAGAAAGGTGATTACCAGGAACCAGGACAGCCTCATCAAGAACATGCCATGATAAACCAACTTTATTCCCTTTTTTGGAAAGGGTTAGAAGTATTGTGGTATGATGAATAGAGAACTGACCTGGAAGGCCTGGGTTCAAATCCTGCTTCTAACACATACTGGCTGTTTGACCTTGGACAACTTATTTAATCACTCCATTCTCTAGACTCCTCAGTAAGATCAGAAACTGCAGAGAAGGTGCCAACCTGCATTGGTAAAGTGACTTTCTTCCCCTGAGAGTTCCCTGTACCAGTGAAGTCTGAAGCCCAGTGCCTGTCTGCGTCCCTTCCCACCTGGTAGATCTGGAGGTGCTGTCAATATAGTTTACTGAGATTATTAGTAAAGCATTTCAATTAATCAATGAGTATTAAGCACCTACTGTGTGCTATGTACAAAGGATGAAACAATACCAGTTCACAAAGACCTTACATTCTAATGGGGGAGTCAAGAAGTACTTATGTAAATATACACAGCATAAATATGAGGTGAAGAAATACATATGCAAAGCAGTTAATTTTATAAAGTACCTTACATTATTTTTGTGGAAAATATGGAGATATAGGCTAGATGATAACACAGTTGGATTCAGAAGTTGGTTGGCCAAAGTCAAAGGGGAGTCATTAATGACTCAATATGAATTTTGCATTGGAAAACGGCTGCTAGGTGGCACAGTGAATAGAGTACTGGGCCTGAGTCAGAAAGACTCATCTTCCTGAGTTCAAATCTGGCCTCAGACACTTCTTGGATGTGTGAGCCTGGGCAAGTCACTTTACCCTGTCTGCCTCAGTTTCTCATCTGTAAAATGAGCTGGAGAAGGAAATGGCAAACCACTCTAGGATCTTTGCCAAGAAAACCCCAAACGGGCTCATGAAGAGTTGGACTTGATGGAACAACAGCAATGAATTTAGTAGTTCCCCAGCAAAAGCGAAATGCCCTGAAGATCTGGGTTTGTCCCTGTGTTCTTTAACATTCTAATCAATGACTTGGATAAAGACAGAGAAGCATACTTACAGAATCTGCAGAGGACACAAAGCTAGGAGGAAGGAAACAAACATTTAGTAAGGGCCTGCTGTGTGCCAGATACCTTGTTAAGTGCTTTACAAATACCTCATTTGATCCTCACAACAACCTTGGGAAGCAGGTGATATCATTATCCTCATTTTATAATTGGGGAAATTGAGGTAGACAGAAGGGTTTTTTTTTTGTTTTGTTTTGCTTTTTGGTGAGGCAATCGGGGTTAAGTGACTTGCCCAGGGTCACACAGTTTGTGTCAGGAGTCTGAGGCTGGATTTGAACCCGGGTCCTCCTGATTCCAAGGATGGTGCTCTATCCACTGTGCCACTTAGCTGCCTCAGAATTTTTTTTTAAAATGACTTGCCCGAAGTAACACAGCTAGTGTCTGAGCCTACATTTGAACTCAAGTTATCCTGATTCCAGGCCCAGTGCACTATGCAGTGCCCAACCCAGCTGCCTGGATACCTAGGAAGGATAGCAAACACAACAGATGAATCAAGATATAAAAAGATTTTGACAAGCTAAAGCACTGGACTGAATCTAATAAGACATTCAGGAGGGACAGAGGTAAAGTCTTAGACTAAGGCTCAAAAGTTCAACTTCCCAAGTACAAGACGGAGGAGGCGCAGTGAGAGAGCGTGTCTGAGATCCAGGGACTCTAGCAAACTGTAAGCGCAGCACGGTCAGCAGTATGACAAGATGCCTCTCCCCCTGCCAAAAATGAATATATTCTTACTATGCGTTAAGACAGGCAAGGCATACTCCCAGGAATAAGGAGGGGATAGTTCTATGTTCTGCCTGGGTCAGACCGCACCTGGAATACTGTGCTCTCTTCGTTGGACCAAATTTTAAGAAGGGTGGAGAGCTGCCAGAGGGAGTTTTCCTCTTTTTGTATCCTCGGTGCTCAGCACAGTGCCTGCCTCATAGTAGGCACTCCATAAATATTAATTGATTTTTATTGATTGAAATCTTCAGAGGTTCAAGGAACTGGGGATGTTGAGGCTAGAGAAGTGAGGTGGGCAGAGAGGATGCACGTGATAGGTCTCTTCAAGCATCTGTTGAACTGAGTGCAAGAGAGAGATTTGTCTGTCCCTTTGTCCCCAGAGAGAATGAAGAGTTGTAAGAGGGAGACAGAGAATTTCAATCTGATGCGAAGGGAAACTTTCTCTCAGTTATTGAAAAGTGGAATGCACCGCATCTGGAGGTAATGGATTTCCCCTCATTGGAGATCTTCAAGTGGAGTTGGATATCACTTGGACATCTTGTAGAGGGTATTCAAATTCTATAATTCTGTCTCTTCAAACTCAAGATTCAATGAATTAACTAAGAGTATGTATATCACATTTTAAACAAGTCCTTCCTTTTACCTTAGTTTTCATCTTTTCTTATTCATTAATATTCTATTCGAATAATGAAATCAATGGAAAATCGAGAGTATTGGTGAATTTTAAACTTGAAATCCCACCCCCACTCCCCACCCCTTGGATTTTGCTCAGTCTCCTGAAGTGGCTGGGAGGTTTTATTTTATCTAAAGCAGCAGTCTTCAAAGGGAAACCATGGGTCCTTGGGGTACATGGCTTGACCCCAAAGGGTATGTGATCCACCAGAAAATAAGAAGCTGGTCAAATCCCACACTCCCTCCAATACCCAACAGTGGACTTATCTCTATCATACCACCCTTCAAAATGCAGCAGTCCCTCACTCCTCCCCCAGTTATGCTGGCACATCATCAGGGCAGTCACAGTCTAATCGAGATGCCTGAAGGGGTAACACTCGCCTCTCTCCACCACTCCCATCACCTCCTGGCTAGTGCAGACACCCTTCAGGTAACTGGCTCAGTGCTCTGAGACCTCCCAAGGTATCTTGGAAAAATACTTTTTTAGCAAAGGACAAAAGCTGAGAAGATTGTACTGTTTTAAGGTAAGGAGTTAACTAAAAAGAGCCCTTGCAAAATTTGTATTTTAAATAAAAATTTTTTAATTTCACTTTTTTTTTTTAAGAGGCAATCAGGGTTAAATGACTTGCCTAGGGTCACCCAGCTGATTTGTGTCTGAGGCCAGATTTGAACTTGGGTCTTCCTGACTCCAGGCTCCTGCACTCCATCCACTATGCCATTTGGCTGCCAACCTCCTAAATGCCAAATCTGATGGCTTTTTCTCAAGCCTCACCCTTCTCTTCTGCCTTTGATACTACAAACTACCTTCCCTCTCATTCTGCATATGCAACTCTCCTCTCCATGTTCACCATGCGTCTATTAAAAAAAAAATGCAAAATTCTTATATCTACACACTTGAAAAAAACTTGGAAACAGAATTTTCTAATCCGTTTTAAAATCTTTGAATTAAAGTTTCAAATTATTTCACCTTTATCTCACTCTTAAAATTTGTGTTTTATAGTATATCAAGTTATTAATATGGTAGTATGTATACATATTTTATAAACTATGTGTGTGTGGCAGAAAGGAAGGGAACAAACATTTTTTAAGCACCTATCACATGTGCCACACACTATGCTGACTGCTTTACCCTGGATCCTCACAACCACCCTGGAAGGGGAAGTGCTATTATGATCCCCATTTTACAGTTGAAGAAACTGAGGCAGACATTGGTTAAGTGGCTTGCCCAGGATCACAAAGCTATTAAGTGTCTGTGGCTGGATTCGGGTCTTCTTTAGAGGCCTAGCGCTCTATGGATTGGGCCATCTGAATGCCTTGCTGTCACACAAACTCAAAACATTTTTTAACTGATACAGTGAGATCAAAAACATTTGGAGATCACTGGCTTAGTGTTGTCATTTTCCTTAACTATTTATTATCTCTTACCTACTTCTGCAGTAAATATCCCTAAGTTCCAACGCATCTTTCCTGTTTTGCGCTTTGAAAAATCTCTTGTATTTCATCTGCATTTCATGAACATAGCACAAGTTTATTTCGGCTAATTTTACTTTCTATTTTCTGTCCCCTCTGCCCCCGTTAAACCAATCTCAGATATTTTTGAAGTACTCAAAATAACAAAAGGCTCAATTTAACAAATGTGTATCTTTTTCATTCATTCAACAACTGTTTATTGAGTCTATGGGTTTTATTTTAGGAATATGTCTTGCTCCAAGTCTGAACCTTCCATGCCCTTGAAAAAGGGCATCTTTCTACTTCTGAAAAGTGCCTCATAGAAACTTGAGTGAAGAAATGAACAAAATCCTCATTACTACAACCTGCTGCTTACTAAAGAGGCACTCATAGGAAAAAAATACTTTTACTTCCAATAAATAGTCAAGCAACATTATAAAAATACTAAAAGTAACTCTTTATTAAATAGACATACAAATATATAATTTTACATTCAAAGGTGTTTTTTTTTTTTAAAGAATTACTGCATGAGAAGAAATTAAGATCAATAAGGTGGTGATTTCTGTAAACAATCCCCTAGAGTTTAGTCATCTGTTTGGGAACAAGACACATCACATAAGTCATGAGCCAGAGGGATTCATTTCCTTGCTCAAACAAGGAAGGTCCCCCTCTTTCTTGTAGAGTTCTCATAATGAAATAAATACAAGGTAGCTACCAAGTGGGTAAAGTCTGTAGGGATTCCTAACCTCCAGTAGCACTGCTAGCCATTCAGTCAATAACTGGGGATGGAATCATCCACATTGGAATGTAAATAAACAATGCACATGGGTCTTGGTGAGGCATCTTTCCCCCTTCTGTCCATTCCACCTGGCCCACCTCAACGTTTCTCTTCATGACCTTTTCTTCCTGGAGCCATTCCACGTGCAGGTCCAGTGTTTTCAAAAGCAGGATAATGATGATGTAGATGGCCTGATCGCCTTGGCTATCATTAGAAGAAAAAATTATGAAACTCAAAGGTTTTCATTATGGTCCCATGGTCCTCTAACTGGCCATTTTGAGTTAACTCACTTAACTTCTTCATCTAGTAGCATCAGTTTTGGAGTCTACATCTACTTCTATCCATTACTGAACAACATACCCTGAAATCCTGGTGAGAAGTACTACATAAAGTACCACAAAAAGAATGTGTAATCATGGGCACAGAGTAAGTAAAAATATTCTCAAGAAAAAGATGGCAATTGCTGTGAAATGTTTCCACAAAACCGGTGTTTCCAAAACAGAAGAAAAATTATGACAATTTAAAATTAACATCTTAACAAATTCAAATTTTCTTTTATTATTGATTTTAATTTTCATGAAAGGTGCCCAAGAATATTGAAGGTTCAGGCCAATTTCATCTTGGTCTTTCAACTGGAAGGTTAACTCGTAAACCAACTAAATGCTTGTATTCTCATGCCCTGTGCATTAGGCAGGAATCACTTCTATCTCTACCTCGGTGGATCTGACCAGACAAGTCATGTGACCAGTCCACGGCACCATCCACAATCTCTTCAGGGATATTTAAGTCCTAGCAGTTTTCTGATAAATGGCATGAAGACAATATGGAAAACATTATACTTGTTATGAGACCAAATTTCCCCCCCCCCTTACCTACCAGGGTCTGGTGTCTAATCAAAAATGTAAGGGAATTACAACAAACTTATTTCCCACTAGACAATAACCACATAAATGCCAAACTAAGTGTTGTAATCACAAACTCAGATCTTGGAAGAATGGATGTATCAATGCTTCCTGGGCAGTTATTCTCGTTGCTGGGTTGAGATCTAAGAGTTTATCAAGTAGGTCATAAGCTTCATCGGGGACTTGATCCCAGCCTTTCAAATTGGCTTGGTGCTTGTTCACAGAAGTTTCTGAGATATCCCCACCATCTTCATGAAATGAGTTCCCTGGAAGTTCCATGTGGGGAGGGAGCTTCAGGTTCTGGTCAGTTCTCAATGACAGAGTTGATTCATGAGCATGGTCCTCTTGTTTTTCAACAGCCAAACTGGGAGTGCCCCGAAGCCTCTCACAGAGGGTTCTGAGATTCTGTGCTGGGACTTCTTTGCTGCATAACACTGATTTACCTAAAAGAGAAAATTGTCTCTAAGTATTTGGATATGCCACGACCCTTTCCCCTACACTATTCAGGATGCTTACAAAGGAAACAAATATTGAATAAAGTTGGAAGCAGCACATGACAATAGGGTTGAGTTCTCTCTTTCGGGGGGCTTAAAACATGCCTGAGATTTACTAATTGTGTAGCTATGGGCAAGTCTTTGCTTCTTCATCTATAAAATGGAGAGGATCCCTGTAGTAAATACTTCCCAGGGTGGTTGTGGGGATCAAATGTGATAATGTACATAAACTTTAAAGAACTAAATAAATGTCTTATTATTACTATAAGGAACCAGAAGACAAGATCACAGAATTAGAGATTCAGAGCTGGAAGGGACCTCAGAGGACATTTAGTACAAGGTCTTTATTTTACAGTGGAGAAACTGAGGCCCAGGCAAAGAGCAGCTTGTCCAAGGTCACACACATAGTGTCAGATGTGGATTGTGAACCCAGGGCCTCTGACTGAAGATCCAGTACTCCTGGGCTAGACTCATGAGAGGGCTTCACCAAGATCAATGACTTTTGAAAGTCTCTTTGCTTTAAATCTGGCTGTGTAGACCAAAGGGCTACCTGCGCCTTCCCTACCTGACACCAGAGAACTGTCTTACAGAGGTACAGGAACCATGGTTTAGGAATCATTTCATTATACTCTCATTAGCCATAAATGATCTCTTAAGAACAAGAAAGGAAGAGGCTTCCACTCTTATCCCTAAGTAAATACGAAGTCTGATGGATACAAATAATCTCACCATGCCACACTGACAGGCCAGCACTGTCATTTTCACATATGAAAGGCAATATTGCTATTTTAACTATCAGCAGGCCTTTGCTGCCTGTAGTAACAGAATGCCACCCCCAGTCCACTCTGGACAGGCTCTCCTGTAGCCTAGTCATTCCGTGACTGGTGGCCTTACATTGGTTGAACTGCAATATAATTTCAAACAGAAGATTCAAGAGAATGATCAGAAGGCTTATTTTATTTCTACAAAGCCTATCTACTCAACCCAAAGAAAACAAAAACAGACTTTATCATAAACATTATTTGAAGGCTTGCTAAGTCCTGTTTGCACCAGAGTACCGAGAAGTTCAGGTTTTGGATTCGGACTACGAAAATCAAATAAGCCACGCTTAAGTGTACAGCACTAGTTACAAGTTACCTTGTGCAGTACAGGATATTTCCAAAACTATCTCTGTCGTACTAAAAGTCTGCTCATAACTGGAGTCGTAAGATTCCGTATTTTAGGCGTGTTGAACAAAAATATATGCATTCTACATTTACTTCATAAATGACTGGCCTCAGAAAAACAGTGGTTGTACATTTTCAAAGATAACAATCTTGGAGGTGGTATTTTCATAGCTCTTCATTGTATTTTCAACTTCTAGAAATTAAGATTTTACCTAAAATTACCCAAATTGGATACATCAAAGCATTTTCAAGAACATAGCATATGCTAGATTTTCAAGAATCATGTACTAACTTATTATTAGATAACAAATCTGCTTACCAAACGTTTTAGCAGCCTGGATAGTTTCCCTGGATCCACGAATTGTCATAATCTGAGCCAAAGCTGTCAAATCATCACTTGCTTTATAAAATGGATATCGTCCACTAAGCAAAGAGAGGAATATCACACCTGCAGACCACATGTCAATTGCTGCAAACCAAACAAAACCTGTTAAAATCACACTCATGATTTTGTCATGTGATAGTATCCTTAAAATACAAAGACACTTAGTTCAAATGCAATGTTCCATTAAAAATGATCAGTAAATATTTAAAGGAGATCTAGGGGGCCTTATAGAGATCAAGCTGTATAACTAAAAGCCAGGAGGACACCTAAATCATATAAAACAAACGGCCACCTGAGCAGAGACTCACTCCCCAGAGAAATGCCATTACTACATTCTATTTTCCCAATGGAACCCACAAGGCTGATGCTTAGCAGACTGTGGTATTCAAAAAGATTCAGAACCAGATAGCTATCACTAGGAGACACTGTTATTAACAATGTGAGGTTCTGTGTCTTTTTTAATAGCAGGAAGAACTTTGTTTCTGTTATAAAAGATAGTGTGGGTATTTTCAGTATGGCTAAAACATGCTGTAAAAGAAGTGATTATGTTTGATCTTAATCCTTCTGGTTTTTGTTCTATGGATTTCTTCAAATTTCTAGTGTATCCTCTAATATGTTAAATTACCATTACCCAAATTACTCTGTGATTAATTGGAAATAGCTTCTGCTTTCATAATCAACAGACCCAGAGTTGAAAAGATCCTTAGAGACCATCGAGGCCAACCAGAGATTGACCTTCCTGACTTCCCCAAGGGCCACACAGGAAGTAAGTGACAGAGGTGGGACTGGAATCTGGACCCTTCGACTTCACAGCCAGATGCCCTTCCCTTGGACAATGCTGCCCCTCACAGCCAGTGCAAGCAAAATACAGGTCTGCTTTTTAATCTAGACTGAGTACTTTAGTCTGACATTCTTGGGCCTTGGACCAAAGGAACTCAAATAACTTCCTATGTGTCCAGGTATTAGGCTCTCTCTTTAGGATTCATGGTTAGCGATTCCTTCAAGAATATTTTCAGTGTTTATCCAGCCAGATCATTTTGTCTTTGTTATTTGCAAAATGTTGTGTCTTTGGGGCAGCCATGTGGTTCAGTAGATAAAGAACAAGGCCCAGAGTCAGGAAGATATGAGTTCAAACGCAGTCTCAGACACTTCCTGTGACCGTGGGTAAGCTACTTAACCCTATTTGTCTGTTTTTTCACCCATAAAATGGGATAAAAGCAGTACCTACCTCCTAGGGGTGGGAATATCTATTAGCACAGTGCCTGGCACACAGTAAGCATCATGTAAATGTCTAAAAAACACCACCACCACCACAGTGGTCTTCAAAATGGACCCGTCACAAGTTTCTTTTGAGTAACTGGCTTAAAGGCAACGTAGGGTGGGCTGTGATTAGGCAGGATCAAAGAAACTAACATGCAACAAAGTGCTTTTCAAACCTTAACTTCTATCTTAGTTGTCTGGAGGCATCAAATCCTGCTTCAGACTCTTCCCAGCTGTGACCCTGGAAGAGTCACCAACCTCTCTGTGTCTCAGACAAGGTTGGACTCCAGGCCCTCTCAAAGGTCCCCTGTACCTCTAAATCTATAATTGCAAGAATCTCGCAGTGGCATTTCATTGGACGTCACCCGAGCTGACCCACAGTGCAGAAGGAAGCCCCTGAGTGACGGCAGAAGGCGGAGGCAGAAGACCAGTGTCGGAGGTTCAGCTCCAATGCCACTGACAGCGACCCTGGTCAAATCCCTTATGTTTCCTTATCAAAAAAATGGGGTTATACTTGAACAACCTGACTTGCAAAATCAATGTATGAAGTGTTTTCTAAAGCCTAAAGCAATACATGAATGTGAGCCATTCATTTACTTATAGCCATTTTTCTATGGTAAAGTTTAATAATCTTTTTTATCAGGGGTTACCATCTAAATGACTAGCTTGGGTTCTTAGAAGGGAATCAGAAACACATTAAACAGCACACAAAAATCTGGGAAAAAATCGCACTATTTCTTTTGAACCTCTATTACATGGTGTATTTTTAAAACTACACCAAAGTTTGCAACAAAACAACAAAATGAACCAGAGTCAGACCTGCGTATTTTTCAAAACTACCAATGAGAAGAAAACCTGAACAGTCTCTGAACCAAAATTTCACTTGATTTGAATCCTGGCTACAAATGTATTAACTTTGTAGTGAGAGAGCCAACTATCCCTCTCAATGCAATCAATTTGTCAACAATATATTTTGTGAATTCTAATACAATGATGGAAAAAAAGTTACATTAAGTTCACAATATTTTTTCTTCAGAGATAATTCATGTTAACAGAACTACTTACTTATGTAACTTACTGAAAAGTAAAAGTGGTCAAATCCTAGACCATGAAATGATTCTAGTATTAAAAGGAACCAGGTAGACAGTCACAAACGTGGTGAACAGGTGTCTGATTTACAATGTTACGCACCTGTAGTCTGATTGGGACACTTGGTCAAGACCTCTGGTGCTCTGAATCCTGGAGTACCAGCTCGGGGGGCAACTTGCTGCCGTCTGGTGACAGAAAAAGACACACTTCCAAATGAAGACTTTTGCAGTCTTAACTCCCACCTGTTACCTTAAAGGTATGTCTTCTATTACTGTACAATCTGCTTTCTACTCAAAGCAGGCAGAACACACATACTCTTTAATCTGGGAGGAAAACTAACTCAGATTATGAAATGCTTTTAAGCTCATTAATTAAGGTGAACACCACAAATTTATAATTTTTGATGATTTGACCCAAACCAAGCCAATCTGGCTAGTGTACAATAGGTGAACAAGTGGTCTAATTCAATATGGTAAAAAAGCTAGAGAAAGAAAATATTAGTCTTCTTAAGAAAACAAACTCGAGGAATTCTAACCCAAGCCCCATGTAGTCCATTAAGAATTAGCTCACCAACCTATTCCTTGGTGATTTGCTCTAAAATTCTGTTGTTTTCTAATCTATTACAGAATTTTGTACATATAACTGGTTTCATATGGTTTGTGGATATTTTTCCTCTTTCTTGTGTACATGATAAGTTCCATGGGGACAGAAGTTATACCTTAATTACCATAGTATCTCTTCCTTCTGTCCAATACATAGTGGGCAATTAACAAATATTTGCTGAAAATTGCAAAATGAAACATTTGATTTTTTTGTGGTATAATTTGTACTGATTTTTAACTAAATCAAAGCAATCAATTCCTTATCATCCAATTTGCAGACTGTTCAGGACTTTTATTTCTCTTTCCCCTGATGCTAGCTTTCTGCTTTCCTGTTTATTATCATTCTACTAGAAAACAGGTACACAAAAATAAAAAAGAAATGAAGCTCAAATTAATCCGTTTTGTTTCCTGTAAAATTCAAATAAGATTCTGTGATTATAGATTTAAATTATCCATTCTTGCTCTGGTTTCCATTTCAGGAAAGGTAGAGAGCTTTGCTATTTGTGATGAAAACAAAATACACAGTGAAAAGAATATACAGAAATACAACAGCAATATAGGTTTCCAATAAATATTTTGATAAAAATTGAAATGGATTGTTTTCATAGTCCTCAAACAAGTGAAAGAAAAGATCTAGTTTTAGTTCAACTTAATTAATACTGATTAAATGCCTGAAAGGCACTCTCCTAAATGCTAGGGACCCAAAACCAACAATAAAAAGTCTCTGCTGTCACAGAGCTTATATTCTAACTGTGGAAACACAACATATACAAATAAGAATAACAAAAAGCAATGTAAAGTAGGGAAAACCTCTAATAAGTGGCACAGAGACAGGGAACACTTCATGGAGGAGTTGGTAACTGCGTTGAATTATTAAAAGAAGCCAGAAATTCTGAGAAGTAAAGATGAGGAGACAAGACTTTCCCAGTATGGGGGGTGGCCTATGTTAACATAGGGAGGTCAGAAATGAAATATCAAGTTCAGAGGAGAGCCAGCAATGTAGCGTTTATAAAAGGGAATAGTAACCCTGGAAAGTTAGGATAGCTAGTAATCCGTCACCATATGCTTCCCTTATTACTACGCTCAGGAGGTCAGAAAACAACCAAAAAGCCTTCAGCATATTGGATGGACCTCCTTTTGGAGCACATGGACAAGAGTCATATACGATGAGGAAGTATGAACGGGCTGCAGTTAGCATTGTCAGAGCAAATACCCACACAGTCGAAAGCACAGAGCCATGGTAGTATGAGTCTGCTATGTTCAGGGTAGTGCAGATAAAGGTTCTCTAAGCAATTTATAATCTAGTAGGTGGCTAAGACATGTTCACTTCTCTAGTTATTTCCTAGATACAAGGTATGAACCCCAGGATCTTAGAGATAAGAAAGATCTAGACATTATTAAATCAGTTTATGGATAAGGAAATTGTTAGCGCCCAGTGTTCCTTCCATATATGTATGTATGTGATAAAAGAGATTCAAAATGCTTTCAGAGTTCAAAAACATGTGAAATCACAAGCTGATCTAAATGAAAGATGAGACATCTGAGCTGGGTCTTAAAGGATATATAAGATTGAGAGGCAGAAATGAAAATGGGCCAGAACATTCTAGGTGTCCAAACGGTCTGCAACCTACTGCTACCAGCATGAGTTAATGCTTGCAAAGGTCGAAAACCTGAAGGTGTGCTTGGGTAGTAGCGAGTAAACCAATTTAGTTAGAATGCGGAAAGATAGGCTGGGGTCAGATGATACAGAGTTAGGGTATGAATTTTTTTGTTAGGCAGTATGAAACCATTGGAGTAACAGAATTAAAAGGGTACTTTAGAAAGATAAGTACAAGCAAGCAACAACAAATCTCAAATGAGGACTAGCACAGGAAGAGCAGTATACAATTCTCATTGGTGGTAGATTTACAGGAGGATGTGATTAAGAGGTCACACAAGATGGACACACTTGGGCTGTGATCTTCACTAGAGGGAGTACTACCTCTGTCAACTAGATCAGAGATCCATCGAAATAACCAAGTATGTGAGAGGAAATGGAAAGAATTAAGACTGGAGGGCAGGAATCTAGTTACTGTGACTGTTGCTAATACTAACTTACACTTACATGGCATTTTCAAGTTTAGAAAATACTTTCTTAACAACAATTGCAAGAGGCGAGTAGTTAGGAAAATACTATGAAAGTCCATAGAGGAAGGAATAGGGCCTGGATGAGGGTCATGGCAGGTAAATGAAAGAGAGGGAAGAACTGAGAAGCCCCCAGTGAGAGAAAGGAGGAGGGAGTCAAAGACAACCAAGATAATGTCCCAATCAATCTAGTCTGCTATAATCTACCTGCTGGGCTCTAGCCCCACGTTCTGAACGCCCTGCTGTCCATCTCCACCTCGCTGTTCCATGAGCTCTCTGAGCCCAGCTCACCCACACCTGCCCCACCCCTAGAGGCACCTGCCATCTCCAAAGCTGTGAATCCTCCCCATGGCCTCTCAGCAGTTTGTAACACTGCTGACCATCCCCTTCCTGGAAACCTCTTCCTTTGGCCTGTAATAGTACTCTCTCCTGGTTCTCCTCTCACCCTTCTGACTGTGCTTTTTTAACCCCTTTTTTCAGGCCCATTTTCAGCCGGTTCTTCATTCATCTCCTACTCCCCAAGTGTGGGTTCAAGGCTCTGCCCTGATCCCTATCCTCTTTTAACTCTACAGACAACAGAATTGGAATGAACCCCAGAAAGGGAATTGCCTTGATCGCCCTCAACAAGCAGTTGTCCACTGGAAAGCCTCTAGGAAAGTCACCATACCCAGCACATGGCGAGCACTGAAGAAATGCATGCTGACCGAAAGGAACTCATTACTTTTCAAGGCAACTCATTCCATTTTTGTTGGGTGGGAACCTTACATTAAAATTTAAGGAACTTAATTAAGTGTCAAGCTACATTTGTATGTATTGGGAAAGAACTGTGGTGAGGTATTGGGCTAACAACAGGCATCTGCTAATTTGCAAACGTCAGTATGCCCCTTCTGGGATGAATCTGTTCTTATGAAAATGACCAGTGCTAATCAGAAGGACTGGAGATAGATTAGTCAACTACAGCATGAGCATGAGCCCAGAGCCAAGGGAATTTCACAACCTGAAACTGTCAACACTTTCTCACTTGGTGATCTCATCAGCATCCATGGGTTTAATTATCATCCCTATGCAGCTGGACTCCCATACCCATATATCTAGTGCAAATTTCTCTCTCAAACTCCAATCATGCTGGACATTTCCCCCAGATACCCTGTCAACATTAGAAACTCTTTTTCCTCCTAAGATCCCCTTCAGCTAAACTCTCTGATTTGTCTGGTCCTTAAGGCCTTCCACAATTTAGCTCCAGTCTCTTTTCCAAACTTATTCACCTTACTACCCTTCATAAAATCTGTGATGTAGCCAACCAAAATGGACTGCTGGATGCTCCCCACCTTTACGTTTCATCTCCTACGTCCAAAGCAATCAACAAGCTCGCCCCCACCCCCAAGGCCTTCCTCTGCAATCCTGATCCTCCCTTAACACGCAGGTCAGGTGCCCTTCTCTGGAAGGTCCTCCCTCATCTGCCCCCACCGCAGGTGTAGTGCACACTCCCTGTTTCATTACCAATTACGTATCGACATCACGCATCTCTCCTCTCCAATAGCATAGAATCCTTTAGAGAGCAGTTATCACTGATGTGGAGCTTTAAAGCACAGGTGTCAAACTGGCCCCAACCAGAGTCAAATGTAATTGGGAAATGTTTAATAAAATAAGTAAAAATACACGATCACACGGACAATGTTAATTTGTGGTTTTCTAAGTCAATATGTAGCAGGCAGGGATCTCTCTCTATTTGAGTTTGATACCACTGCTGTAAGAAACCTGAGGAAACATTAGCAAGTGACCTGCTCCAAGATACAACTGAGCTGAGATTCAAACCCCAGCCTTGTGACTTCAAATTCAGCCTGGGGAGCAGCTAGGTGACGCAGTAGATAGAGCACTGGACCTGAAGTCAGGAGGACCCGAGTTCAAATCCAGCCTCAGACCAAACACTTGACACTTACTAGCTGTGTGACCCTGGGCAAGTCACTTAACCCCAATTGCCTTAAATTTTTTTTTAACCAAATTCAGCCTGTATCTAACATAATTCTTCGTCCCCTACCAATCTACCACAGAAATGAGATTATCTTGGCCTTCATTTACCTGAACATCAGCAAATGCTGTATCATATTCCCAGACTTATTTCACACCACTCTTTCTCGTATCAGTATGGGGTGGTTATTTCCCGAGCTTGTCTAGCATACTGCCCCTGTGAATGTGCTTAGGGGACTCTCCCCACGCCTGGCCCACTTTCCTTCACCATCTCTGGCTGCTCCAGTCACCTTCTGCATGAGACTTTCCTTGGCCCTCCTGGCTTGAAGCGCTCTCACTCACCTCACATTTTTTTAAGGACTTATCATTTTGGACTTTAACTGTACAATTACTCCATGGAAATCTTATCCTGTCCCACTTTTCTACCAGGAATTTTGGAGCTGTCAAAGACTAGAAGACAATTTATTTCCAAGTAACTCCACCTTCTCAGATAACTGCCCTTTCCTCCTCCCAGATTCACAGAAGGGCCCAGCTTTTCAGAGCAGCATCACCTGGTTTTAGTTATTCTGTGTGAGGGGAAGGAACAGAAATGAAAGAGGAAGGCAGAAAATCATTATGTCAGCAAATCAACTGTGAACTTCTATGGTTCCAAAAGAGCCATATTCTCCTTTCAAACTATTTGCATATAACAGCAAAAAATGTTTTCCTAATAGCATTTGCATGTGAAATGAACACCATATGAAAACGGTCATCATTTGTTTGTCTTGCAGGGAATCGCTCTGCTCCTGAGCAGTGCTGGGGCAGCACTGAGGCCTCAGCACTGCCGCCTCTGCATTCCTCACTCCGCTGCCCACCGAGTTTCTGCAGACAATTTCTAACCTGCCGGACGGCCGAGCAGGGATTTTACGACACTCTCCAACCATGTTACCTTGAAAGGCAAACACTGCAGACTTGATCTGTTGCATAACAGTCACAGGTCAGATTAGCAGGGCAAGTGCTGGCAGCTTTCCTCGTTATGTTACTGGTCACCGTTTTTGTAGAAACCACTTTCTTTTTCGTTGCTAACTTTCTAGATGTGACATCCATCGGTTTAGGTTGCTTTATGAGCTGTAAAGAAAAGTTACATTGGTTTCTAGTTTTGGATTTTTCTAAGTATTATAAAAAGTACTGGTGCCAAAATATATCTTCTAAAGTCACAACGTGGATGCCAAGATATGACTACAGGTTACAATGCCCACTCTAGTCTGATAAAAGATGTCAATTCTTTCAGTTTCACTTTCAAAACCCCATTTTTGATGATGACATATTATTTAAATCATACTTTAAACCGCCACATAAAAGGTTACATGAGCAAAGTGCCACTTGCATTTTCTCGGAGGCCTTTGTAACGCCAATAGAGGAGTAAAAGAAAGGGAATATTCTCGTGTCTAACTCCATTTCAGAACCACAGACTGAACAAAGAGAGTGGGTTACTAACTTACAATGTCTAGAACTAGGAGCTAGGAGCTTGGGCCGATTTTCAAAAATTTAACATTTACAACTATAATCTTTCACATTTTTAAAATGCTATTTTCCCTGCTCCAGTACCAAATTTCAAGTAGACCACTTGAAAATATAACCAGAAAAAAATGTACCATCAATCAATCAACGAGTATTTAGTTAGTGCCCAATATAAACACGGTCTATTAAGAAAGCAGCCTCACTTTAACTGTAGCAACAGTTAATCACCAAACCATCTGAAACGCTTCATGAGTAAAACGCAAGAGAAATTTGGGGAGGTGGCAGCTCAGGCCAGATGTCCAAAGCAGCCATCTCTGGGGCACAACAAAATTCTAACTTTTTCCCCCAATTACTGATAGCAGGTTCTACGTCCCTAAACTGTTTGTGTGTGTGACTCATTGTTCAGCATTACTTACTTTCGCGGCAGGGCTCTCATGTGAAATGGAGCTTTGTATATTGAAATTTCTTTCTCCCAAAACAGAGCGCTGGACAGAAAGGCCTACAGATCCCTCCTACAATATCAACAAAAAAAGGACAATAAGGATTATATCTGTAATACTTTCTGCCAGCTTTCCTCTGCTATAGTTTCAAAAGAGTTAAGGGACAAACAAAAACAGCTGCAAGCAAGTCATTCTGAGGCACCAAAATACTTCTGTGAAAGAAGAGGATAGTCTGGACAAGCCATTAACCCCTGACAACGCCCCAGCCCCCACGTGGACCCAAAGAAAGCCTAAAAGCCTCTGCATGGATGTGACACTTTGCTGTGCAGCTAAAATGGAGATAGACACCGGAGAAATGTTCTTTTCTGCATTAGCTACAAGGACTGTTTCCTCTTTAAGAGAATTCTTACCCGATGTTGTTTTACGTCAAGCAGGAAAAAAATCAAGCATTTTCTGTTTCATACAGAAAACATGTGACTTTGCACCATAATACACGTGACCAGAATGTGGTTTATAAATCTGGGAGCTAAATCTCAAATGTCATAAAATAACAAAAATAATTCACTACAAATCTTATCAAAATGCTGTCAGTTGAAGACACATACCAAATGTAAAATAATCACCAAGTATTGTTTCAGTGTTATATCCCCCCCTGTTGGATGAAAAAAAAATACACTTTAAAAACAGTACAATATTATCAAAAACAAACAAAAAAAGGGGTAGAACCTTGCCATCTTTTCCTTGTTTAGTCTGAATTTGTGCGTGTGAGTAGGGCCTTTTAACAGCTGTTTGAGTGGATGACTGAGATAGCGCTTTTGGTGCTGGGACACTCACTGAAACCTTGTTTGCCATTACTATGGGAGCTTTATTTTGTGAGCAACTTTCCTGTTGGGCTTCCGACCGGACCAGTTTGAGTAGCTCTACTTTTGTGTCACAGGTTCCTTGGGCCAAGCCAAAGTCTACTAAGGCATACCTACGAAACAGAATTGGGCAAACAGGTTAGCTCTGTGACAGCTCTAACAATGAAATGTCAGTAGTTATACAAACCCATCTATGTTCATCAAACCATATGCATACAGCATCAAGCCACTATCAAGCAATCAATACCCGGTCACATTCCCCTTCCTGAAAAAGAGGGAAAAAAGTTTTCCCTAGCAACATCACGTAAGAATAAGCCACGACAGACGCTTTCGTTAAGAGGGGCTCCAGGACGTGCTCTTCACCTGACCTTCTCAATTTCAAAGCTGGGAGTGAAAGCGCAACAGGGGCAAATTCTACTTAGAAGTGTGATCCTTTGTTTCCTGATGCTAGCAGCAGAATCTAGCTTGCTGCCATACCAGAAACTTTCCACGTTAACAAGCTTAAAAAACATTCAGTCTGCAATTATACAAAAAGCTCAATCTGATTCTGATTAAAGAAAGTAGAACAGCAAAACATAAGTCAGATGTGTGCAAAAATCACAAATGAGAAATGTTCTAGCCCTGCTGTCATAAACAACGTGTTATGATAATCACATTTATCAGCACACAGAAACATGTGCAGATTGTAACATACTCATACCCCGCCAAAGTGAGCATCAATAAAATAAACAAAAAATAAGCCCCAAGTTGAAACTCTTGCCAATCTAATAACGCATTATTTACCATTAAATCCAGTTTTGAACACTGCAGTTGTTTCTTCTTAAACTGTTTTTTATTGCTTTGAGGATAATGGATAATTCCCTTTATAGATACAAACTGTTTCACCGCAATAACTTTGTTTTCTTGTTAAGTTTTCAACAAGTATTTTCAAAAGCAACATGTCTCCACTGCTTCTACAGACCTTCTTTACCTAGAAGGTCAGAGCCCACATGGGACATCCTGACGAACACTTGTGCATCGTCTAGTCACTTCACACACTCACTTTTTAAGACGCCTGTTGTACAAGAAGTTGCTGGGCTTGATGTCTCGATGGACAATCCCAAACTGATGGATGCGTCTCAAAGCTTTAAAAAGATTAAACATATATTCTCGAACTTCTTGAAAGGAAAGAGAATTCAAAATTTCCTGAAACACAGGTTTTAAGAAATATAATTAAACGATCATTCTCCATTTAAAAATCAAATTGTTTAAATATAAGGAACCCTAAGACTCACCAAAAAGGATTCATGTTCCAGATATGGCATTGCAATAACTACATGATCATTTTTTCTAAAGCAATACTTAACTCCCATGACATTATCTTGCCCCCTAGAGGAAAATACACAAAGAAAAATCAGAATGCTGTATAACCTTGTCGGATGTTTAGAAATAGAATTTTTTAAAGCATAAATTATGGTTAAAGACTAACCCGAAATAATAAGCACAATGCATTAGGCAATGCAAGGTTACTTGACATTCAACTTTTATCAATAAAAATATGGCCAAGGTTGGGATTTAATGGAAGCATTACCCTCTTAAAACCAAGGCGCTGTGTCCATGTCACTCTTACCAAGTCAATTATTCCTAACTTCAATTGACTCCACTTTGCTTTCTGCCTCACTTCAGCTCTCCAATTTCCACTCTGAACTAGCAGCTTACAGGAAATCATAGGGCCTAGCCCTGTGCTTTCCCAGTGGAGGCTCTCCCAATGAGAAAACGTCCTCTCCTGAGGCAGGGCAGTGCCTTCTTTGTGACGAGCGTCAAGGCTCAGGAAGTTCTCAAGGAACCAGGAGGTGACATGACTTGACCAGGGTCCCACAGGCAGTATGTGTCAGCTGGAACTTGGAACCCAGGTCTTCCTCACTAAAGGACAGTTCTCTATGCCCCAAAGCCTCTCACAGTAAACCATACCATAAAAATAAATTTTTTTTTCTTGTGGAAATAATTGTATGAAAGCTACAAGCTAACATAACTATTGAAAATAAATTACAAAATCCAAATACTTGTATTTAAAAGACTATCAACTCAAGTACAACACTTTAAAACCTAGATTCTCAAGGCTCACTTGTTCACCACGTACGCAGCACTGTGACAGATACACTTGGGATTGGGAAAGAAGGGCCAATCTCAGAAAACTTCCCACCTAATAGGGAGAAAAGCTAAGAACCTCCTAAAGGTTGAGGGATCAGTGTAGACAAGCTAGGCAGTACTTGGCCACTCTTAGCACATCAGTTTTGGGAGAGTAACAGAAAGGAAGCCAGAATGTGGACGTTACAAAGGGAAATGATGGAGAAGAAACACAGGCAGTCAAAACTGCTAATTCAATTAAGGCAGTAAGAGGCCAGAAATTGCCTGGACGTGGTCAGAATACATCTGGAGTGCTGTGTGTACTTCAAGGCACAGTTTAGGTCCAAAGCACTATTCAGATCCCTCATTTTCAGATGAAGGTCACCCTGGTGGCGTACCAGCTCTGAGAAGTCCCATCAAACTGAAAAGGCTTCAAAGCTGGACCCAGCGCCCAATGTATGCCTACTGTCTGAGGACACACCTAGATAATTTCAGAGGCTCACCGCTATGTCATCTATCAGGTGATGAGTTTTGACGGGCATAATAACTCCTGCATTATGGAGAAACTATAATCTATGGTGGTGGAGAGAGTACCCAGACTGGTGAAATCATGCATCCCGTCTGTCCTGGCAAGTTGGCATGCCAGCCAGAAGAGGACGACTAGGATGTCACAAGGAGGACTGACAACCACACCACCTAAAGATCAGTTAAAGAGCTGGAACAGATAATTAAAATAGAAGAGACTAGACCAAGTCAAGAAGCATTAAGTACCTACTATGTGTCAGACACTGTGCTGAACACCTGGGATACAAAGAAAGGCAGAAAGAGTCCCTGCCCTCAAGGAGCTCACAATCGAATGGGAGAGACAATATGCAAATAACTAGGCACCTACAAGACATATACAGAACAGAAAGAAGGTTGTCTCAGAGCCTTCTCCTCTGCACCAGCAGCTGAAGCTGTCTTCAAGTATTTAAAGAACTGTATCATGGAGCTAGGCATGTTCTGCTTGGTCCCAAAGGGCAGAAGCAGGGGCGACAAGTAAACTGAGGCTCAGCAGAAGGGAAAACTTGCTAATAATGAGAACTATGCTAATGTGGCATGAGGCTTCCTGGACTGCTGCCTCAGCAACAGTCTCCCAACAGAGGTCGGCTGACAATCTGTCAAGGGCGCCGTAGGAGAGAATCCTATTCAGAGAGAGGGTGAACTACCCAGCCTCTGGGGTCCTCGGAGGAAAGGTTTCAGAGAGGAGGGATGAGCTGGAGAGATGAGAGAGGGAGATTCTTTTTTTTTTTTAAAGGAGGGAGATTTGTAGGGGCAGGAGAAAAAGACAGTGAAGATATTGGGCCAAATGTTCACTACAGGAGAACAGTAGTACTTAAGGTTAGAAACATGGGTTGGGGTCAGAATATAGATAGATGTGAATGTAGATTTTTATCCTCCGGACAATGGAGAGTCAATGAATGTTTTCCAGCCAGGGGATACCTGAGTGAAATGCTCCAGCAACGTTAATTTGGTGGTAATGTGTGCAATGAATTGGAGAACAAAAATACTGGAGGCAGGAAGGCCAGTTAGAAAGGAATTTGGGTATGAAGTAAAGAGGGTTAGGGATACAGTGGAAATGAAAAGAAAGCTGTGCTTCGAACGGAGGAAGAGCCACAACCTCATTCATAAAGCAAATACAGCAAGTAGAGAGGAGACTCAAAGATGACTTCTCCTGCTTTATCCTGGATGACTTGGGGAATAGTGTTGCGAATGAAAGAAAAGTCAGGAAAGGATACCAATTTGCAGAGGAAAAGATTTTTAATTCAGTGTCAGATATGGTAAATTCGAGGTGTTAGAAGGATATCCCATGGAAACATCCACTGGACAGTTGGGAGATACTGGGTGAGAGGTCAGAGAAGACACAGATCTGCACAGAGTTTTAATAATTAAATTATGAGAACAGGTCCTCTATGGGAGAGTGCCTTTATGGATAGATTTCATTAAGGGGCAGGAAAAAGAAGACCAATCAAAAGAAGGTTGGCAGGAGAGGTGGGAAAACTAAGACACTGCACCACTGAAGCCACGGGAAGAATCACCAGAAGGACCCGGTGATTCACAATGTCAAAAGAAGTAGAGGCGCCATGGAGAATAACAGCTGAAAAAAAGACTGGGCCAGAAAGCCGCTGTGGATGTGACTTCTGAGAAGAGGGTCAGTACGGAGGCAAGGCTGAAAGCCAGGACACAGAAGGACAAGTGTAGTAAAGAAACAGAGGCAGGGGATTTAAGTCACTAATTCAAGAAACAGGGTTTTAAGAAGGTGGACGTCAGGATCAAACGAATACTGTTTCACGATGGGAAGATCTGTACATGTTTGAAAGGGTGAGGGGAGAGACTAAAGTATGCGAGGAAAGGAAGGAGAGAGACTTGAAGCCCAGGCAACCACGCGGCCAGCTGAAGAGAAAGACCTAGCAGACTGCCCGCTTCCTGTGGCAAAGGTGGAGGCAAAACAATCAGCTACAAGTAAATAAGAATTTAGAGTTACGATTTCATCATTTTAAAATAATGTACTGACTTATTAATTCTAGCCTTAGGGGGAAAAAAAGGTCAGTGACCATTAAAGCCATGTTTAGCCCTCTTTTAATGGCTCAGAATCAAGACCTATCACTGCAAAAGTCAATGAATAAGTGTGTGCCAGGAGCCAAACTTTACACCAAGACACCAGCTCCAAGGATGGAGGGTCTTTGAGGACCAGGTTTCTGGTCATCCTGGTTGTAGCCTACTCAAAAACTTCTAAAGTGCAGTTAATGTAACCCAAGGCTATTCTAAATTACCCACCCAGCCACAGTAAGACACTGGAGTTCAGCAGCAATTCTTATAGGATGACTCGTAGGAATTAAGTGTTTCAGAGCAATTTTCTCTTCAGGTCCCATTTTTAACTGTGCAGTGGCCAAGTAAACAGAGCTGAAAGTACCTGTGAAAGGTATTGAAAAATCTTTAGCATTTAATTTTTGCAAGCATAACAAAACCCTGCTAAAATGCTAAATTGCAAAAAATATTTTAAGTACATAAAGTTATAACAAGCCATTTGTTTTTATCAGTAATGAGCCTATCAACAGATTACAATTAAGTATAATGAAAAGTAAAATATGGCATATTTCCATAAATTCTTCCTTTCCTCATCTGTATGACTAGATTTATATCAATATTTCCAGGGTTAACACCAATATTTCAATCTAATTATTTGATTTTTGTTTCATAAATTGGGATATTTTCATTTTTTTTTCCCCTAAAGACAATCCTACATGTTTGACGGCAAAACTAAGAATGAAACCTTTAAAAATCTAATCCTTTAAGCAGACTTCTCTACCCTAATATTTAGAAACTAATTCCAGATATCATGTTATCATTTTCTAATCCCACCGTCCTGCCACCTTTGCCCCCGATATAGTCCATTCATTTATGGGATAAGCATGTTTTAAGTTTTTATTGTTCACCTATTCATTCATTAACACACCTTTTACTTTTTATCCCTTTTCAAATCTGCTTTCCAGACTGATACACAGCCCATTCCTTTTTCCCTGTAAGTAGATTTCCTGATTCACCCAGCATCTTTTTAAATAATTACTAACATTCTCTTATTGTTACTATACAAAATCGATTTCCTTTGTTATATCATTTTAGGTATCATATTAATAAGAAATTTTTTAAAAAATTCTGTGACATTTACATATTTGAATATTAAATAGAGTTGTGTATTTTGAATTAACAGAGACTATTCATTAATGTATTGGAAGAGTACATTGAAAGGATACATATAATTCAGTTTCATGTATTTAATGTGCTTCCTTCCAGCTTAAAAGTCAGCTAATATACATTCTTTTAAGCAAAAATTCAACTAAATGACAATAAAAACTTGTTACTATGTCAAAGTTAGTAATATAACTTAATTTTCTTAACATTTAAAAAGGAATATTAAAGGGAATTTCTTCAACAAGAAATAATGGTATCGAAAATATACACATTAGAAAAAACATAAGAATAACATTTTTAAAAAATTCAATTAGACCCAGGTCTACCTTCTCCAATTTTGTCCTCAATCTTAAACACACTACCGAGCTGTGGTACTGCTTCATATAGTCTCTCGATATCTTTTTCAACCCCTGTTGAGGAAATAAACGTTTGAAAGCATTTATAATCACACTCAGTTAACCAAATTAGATTTACTACATATTTCCTCAAGTTAAAGAAGCCAGCGAAATGAATCATAAAACCCAAGCATTTAGATATACACACACAAAAAACAGTTTACAAAACTGACTGGAAATTATATAAATTCATGTTTACCAAAATATAACTTACACAGACTGTGGAACTTTCATACAAAATTTACAGTTTTAGAATTACACAACTTTAATTTCAACTACTTTTTGATCATATACACATAACCACACCATTACTTTGGATCTAGCACAAAGGAACTCAAGTCAGCAAATAACCAAGGACATTTTGTATTCTTATCACTAGATGGCATGACAAGGACATACTACATTCTTAGAAAACTGAACTTCTTTCCCTGAAATGTATGAGTTCTTTCAAATGTAGAAAAGATTCACATTTAGGGTATTCCCAATGGATACCTTCAATGAGTACTACTACTGCTCAGAAGGAGCTTGAGAAATTTCCCAGTTGTAAAAACTGCTAAGTTGGTTTTAAAGAAATTTAAGGCCTTTACACTAATTACAATATAATGAAAAATTTTAACAGAAGTAAAGAAAGAAAGCCATTTTTAGACCTTCCATTATATTTGACCCAAGAACTAGAAAACTTTTAAATTTGTCATGGTGCTTCTGGAGTTCAAAAGAATGGTAGTAGCAAGGATACGTATCATTCATTTGAAACACTCTAACCATTCTCCAGTCACAATTTTAGAGAATTCTAATACGCTGGTAGAGTAGCCAAAGGTGAATGCAGGGACAAGAGGATTCAGCATGAAGAACGGAGCAGAAGTGCAGGTAATACTAACAAACAAACCACAGCTTTTACAGATCACAAAGCCAAAGGGATCTATGTGCCAACCTCTAATATATGAGCATTCCCTGTGTTACTAACATTCAGTCCAGGAACTGAAAAGTGTACTGCCGCATTTTATGTGGTTCTAGAAACAATAAACTTGGGTCCTAAATAGGAAATAACTGAAGGAAAAAATCTTCCACAAGCACTGACATGCCGGCATTACAACTGGTAGGAATTCAATCCCACAAAATATATCAAGTTCTTATTATGTTCAAGGCACTGTGCCCAGAAGAAGGAAAAAATATAGTTCTTGGACTAGAGAAACTCTTTTTAATCTGACAGGGAAAATACAATAGTTAAATAAATAAGGAGAACACAAAGTAGAATGAGATATGGGTGAAGGAGAGGTGCAGACAAAGTACCCTAGTAAAATATCCCTTTAGCAGGCAAAGTTACTAGAGCTCCTAATGCAAGGCAGAAAATTCACCATAGAAGCATCCCTAAGTCCCGATGGATTATATCGTTCTGTAAGGCTACCTTTTTCATTCAAAAAGAAGAGGACAGTGAGAAGGTGGAGACAGGAGGGGAATCAAGTACCGTTGTACATTAAAAGGATATATTCATGGGAGAAAACCTAGGAATCCAAGGGGGAGGCATAGTGGAAAGGAACTAAATGGAAGCAGAAATGGATATGATCTTGTCTTCGAAAAATTACTCTGGACCATCTGGCCTGAGAGAATAAACAGAAAGGAAGTTTAGGAAATGCCCTAAGGGTGGCACAAAGCCAGGACAACACCTGCATGGACTTCAATCACCTGGACATTTGCTGGAGCTTTGTCTACGCAGCATAAAGTGCTGAACCCGGAGTCAGGAAAACCTGGGTTCAAATCCTGCCTCAGATACTTACTAGCTGGGTGACCCCTGGGCAAGGCACTTAGCTGTAGTCTGTAAAATGGGGAAAATAATAGCACCTATCTCCCAGGGTTGCTGTGAGGATCAAATGAAATGCTATTTGTACTTTGCCAAAAGCACGTTAAAGTGCTATATGTTACCTAATTTTTCTCCAGTGCTTAACACAGTGCCTAGCATATAACAGGTATTTAATAAAGACCAGATGACTGACTGCGTCAAAAACAGAGAAGCCTGTATTTTCTTGGCCTGCCTGAATGATTATTTCATCTTTCAAAAGGCGGAGAAACCACAAGAGACTGGTTCTAGATTTGACTCTGACCAATAAGGAAGAACTTTGGGCTAAAGTAAAAATAATGGAAACCCTAGAAACCAAGGCCCTCTCTTACCTTAGAATTGGAGAGATGAAAAATAGGAAGAGTCTGGCATGCACTCTAGATTTTGGGAAAGCAGTTTTCAAAGGGTTCAGAGAACAGATAATTAGGATGCCAAGGCCCAAAATTCCATAGGAGAAGCCAGCCTAGGAATTGGGAATGCAATTCTGAAGACAATGATGGGGAAAAGGTGTATTTATCTAAAAAGATCAATATAGATGGATGGGAAACTTCACTGACCAATTTAAATCTTTTTTGGGGGGCACGGCAATTGGGGATAAGTGACTTACTTGCCCAGGGTCACACACAGCTAGTAAGTGTCAAGTGTTTGGTCGGAGGCTGGATTTGAACTCAGGTCCATCTGACTTCAGGGCCAGTGCTGCATCACCTAGCTGCCCCCCAAACTTCAATTTTTAAAAGACACAAAACAAAGATGGAAGCAAGATAACAGAGGATGAACATAAAAGCCTAGAAACATCCTATAAATGTCAACAGTACTTAAAGCCCAGAAAGAGGTGAGTTTAGCAAAGAATGCTAAGGTTAACAAAGGTATTAGTTTGTTTTTTAAAGCTATCTTAGGGATTAGAAGAGGCTAGAATAATGGATAAAGCTGCTATTTGGCATGGACAGACCGAAGCTAAAAGCTGAGAGATAGAAGGTAAGATTGCTCAACTTTTTTTTTTGCTTGTTTTCTCTGTGAAGAAGAATCTTGAGACCCCAAAGGACAGAATAAATATGAGCAAGAGGAAGTTGCAAGCACTAGCTGTCTGAGTTTAAATCACTGGGCCCAGATAAACTACTTCAAGGGTACTAAAAAACTGGCAGATGTCAGTGAGTCAATCAATAAACATTTGTTTAAGTACCAGCTATGTACCCAGTACTGTGCTAAGCACTAGGGATACCGAGGCAGAAGACAACCTCTCCCCTCAAGGAGCTTCCAATCAAATGGGAGAGCCAACAAGCAAACACATATTCATAAACAAGCTAAACATACAGGAAAAGCAGGAAATAATTAAAAGAAGGAAGACACTAGAATGAACAGGGGTTGGAAATGCTTCCCATAGAAGATGGGATTTCAAATAGGATTTGAAGCAAACATTGCTCCACACATGAAGGACAGTCTCATTTGAGGAACAGCTAGGGCGCCAGCGTCACTGGATCAAAGACCTGTAATTTCCTGGGCATAGGGACTTGCAGATAAAGAAATCCCTTCTACTACTGCAGATCAGCACCTGAGTCTTCGAGAGTGGCTGGGGGCACTGACAACTGAAGCCCCCTGCCCAAGGTCACACTGTCAGGAGGGGTTAGAGTGGGAGTTGACTCTAACAACTACCCCAAGGCAAAGTACCAAGCATGACAACTGGCCTCCAAAAGTCAACTTCACATTAGATTATAAACTACTTGAGAGAAGGGGCTGGGTTTCTTTACCTTTCTTTGTACTCCTAGCACTTAGCACAAAGACGGCATTCAACAGGCATTTATCAATCCTTCTTGACTGACTGGCTAATACAAGGTGGGAGCCCTTAGTCTGAGAAGGACATGACAAGCTCCTAGTACCACCAGGGGGATCCAGCAGGCAAAAATCTAATGGCAGAAAAGCTTCATGGTGTCCCAGATAGCTGCACTGGGCCCTGGACAGGCTCACCGAGAAGATGGGGCTCAGTGCTGACTACCACATTTTGCAGAGTCCAGAGGAGGGTGACCAGGCCAGTAAAGAGTCTCACGATCGCTCCCAGATTTCATTAGACTGTTTGCTGGGGTGTTCTATTGTGTGGCCAGACACACATGTATTCTCTGTATCTGGGGGCAAGAAAAGAAGAGCACCCCAAGGAAGTCCCAAAGAGATACAAAACCCCTAGGGCGGGGACTTTGAAAGCTAGAGGAATAGCAGTGATCAGAGCAATAGGCAACTCCAGGTTCCCAGTATTCTAAGGTGGTCTGAGATACCTTAAAGGGCCAGAAAGAACCAATGTTCTGAACCTCAATGATCCAGGGGGACAGAACTCCAGGAAGTGGAGATCAGTGCAGGGGCCTAGGGTGAGACCAAGCAGGGCCAACCATACCACCCAAAAGCTCAGCAGGAGCTAGAGCTTGGCCAAGCTGGAGAGGTGGGGAAATCAAAGAAAACACCAACCATAAAAGTGATTATTATAAATCTAGAGAGCTCCAAAAAGAGTGAATAAATAACTTCACTAACAACTATAAGCAGTGACTCAAAGGAAAAAAGAGATTTTCCACTAAGATTACAAGAACAACTAGAAGAAATAAAGCAAGGTATAAGAAATGATGAACAGGCAGACTTCAGAAAAACTGGGAAGACTTGTACGGACTGATGCTGAGTGAAGTGAGCAGAACCAGGAGAACGCTGTACACAGTAACAGCCACATTGTGCAATGACTAACGTTGATAAGACTGAGCCCTTCTCAGCAATGCGAGGATCTAAGACATCTCCAAAGGTCTCATGATGGAAAATGCGATCCACATCCAGAGAAAGAACTATGGAGTTTGAATGCAGATCCAAACATACTATTTACTATTTTTTTCTTCTCTTTTGTTTCGTTTCCTCTTTCTGATGGTACCTCCTATTGGTTGTAATTCTTCCTTACAACATCACTAATGTGAAAATACGTTTAATAGGAATGTATACGTATAGCCTATATCAGATTTCGAGCTGCCTTGGCGGGGGGAGGGAGGGAGAGAGAGAGGAAGGGGAAGAAAAATTAAAAACTCAAAAGCTTATGGAAGTGATTGTTGATAAATCAAAATAAATTAATTAAAAAAAAGAAACAAAGCAAGAGATTTAAAAAATGGACCATGTGTTGGAGGAAAGATATGGAAACAGAATAAATACCTTAGAACAGAAAATGGTAAACCTTATCCAAGTAACAGATTTCCTTCTAACTAGAACAGTCCAAATACAAATCACTGACTCCAGGAGACAGAACAAAATAAAACAAAATATTAAAACAAACACAAAAATAGAAGAAAATGTCAGATATCTAATATCAAAAACAACTGACCTGGAAAACAGGTCAAGGAAAGATAATTTGAGAATCAATGAATTCCTTGAAAAACATGACTTAAAAAAAAAAAGCCCAGACACTATATTTCAAGACATCATCTGAAAACTGCCCAGAACTATCAGAAACAGAGGGCAAAGTGAAAGTAGAATCGACCAATGACCTCCTGAAAAGAACACCAAAAGGAAAAGCCCCAGGAATGTCACAGAGTTCCATGTCAAAATCCAAAGTTCCCATGTCAAAGAAAAAATTACTGTACGCATCTGGAAAGAAGCATTTTAAGTACCCAGAAACTACAGTCAGGATCGTGTAAGGCCTGGTGGAAAGATTAATATTCTGTAACATTAATAACAATAGTAGTGCTTCTTATGTATCAGACACTGTGTTAAATGCTTTATAATTGTCATCTCATTTAATCCTCACAACAACCATTGGAGGGTAGGTACTATTATTATCCCCATTTTACAAATGAGGAAACAGTCAGATAAAGGTTAAGTGATTTGTCTGGGTCACCTAGCTAGTAGTATCTGAGGCTGGATTTGAACTCAGGTCTTCCTGACTCCAGGCCAAGCACTCAATCCAGTTCACCACCTAACACAAGGAAGTTCAGAAAGTAGAAAAGCAGATAGTTTTGAAAGTAATGTGTGGAATTATTATACACTTTTTAAAAAAAGTGCTGTGAAGTGAAAATTCACAGTTTCATGTATAATCTTTCTGTGTTCTGCTATTTATATAAAAATGCTTTTATGGGTATTTAATAATAATTAAATTAAAGGATAAGATCACTGGGCTACAATGATTAGTCAAGATTCATAGTCTTAAACTCAGCTTTGATGGATATATTAGATCACAATAAACTGAGAATAGACTAGAGGGTTTTTTAGGTAAGAATAAGGGATAACCATCTTTGAATGGGGAGAGTTCACCTGAAAGTGGTGTTTTAGAAACATTAAATTGGCTGCTGTGTGCCAGAGGGATAGAGGCAGTTAGACTTGTCAAAAAGCCATTGCAATAAATGCAAGGGCAAGAACTAGGCTGGTGAACATAAATGATAAAAAATGACATAACTAAGAAACAACGTAAAAGAAATGACATAACTTGTTAACTAGATAACAGTTATGGAGGGAAGTATACCACTAGCTTCTATATTTAACTCTCAACAGGAAATAGTTAATAATGTAAACTATGAGAAGGGGCTTTTAATAGTGCAAAAAGGTGAATCCTTTACTAACACGAGCTCCTGCTACTCTTTCCCTTCATCCCTCTTGGTATCTTTGTTAAAATCAGAATCAAATTATTATGCAAATAAAGATGTCCTACTTACATTTCATTTATAAATCTAAATTTTATGTAGCCGTATATAATATGATAGAAAGAGCGCAGCCTTATAGTCAGGAAGTCTAAGGCACCTAAACAGTCTGTTCTAGAATAGGGGTCAGCAAACTATGGCCTGAGGGCCAAATTCAGTCCCACCTATTTTAATATGGCCTGAGAGCTTTCCATTCTTATCTTCTAGGCCAAATAAAAATTATCAGTGGGCTGGATTTGGCCCACAGGCCATAGTTTGCCAATCCCTAGTCTAGAACTTTGCTCAGTAGTAAAGAAGTCTATGTTCCAGGATCCTGGGATCTGGACCAGGTTACTTAAATTCCCAGGATCTTATCTTCTCCATATGCAAAATAAGAGGTTTGGGCCAGATAACATATCAGGTCTCTTCTAACTCAAGAGTTATTCTGCCTCCATAGAGTTTTCTTCATTTTTCTGCAACCGTATAAACACACCACTCCAAACTTAAAGAGAAAACCAAACTGCAAGTCAGTGGTATGAGACATCTTACCTCTAAGTCTGCAGTTCTGCTCATACTTTTTAAACGAGCCATCGGTCTGTAATCGGTCACGCAGCGGGGACAGAGGCTGCGGCTCATCCAGCTGAATTCCCAAAGATGCCTCCATAACAATGGACAGGATCCAAAGGCCAGCTAGGGGGCCATGTCCACAGAGGCCTTTCAGGCAGGCGTGACCTGGAAGAGACAAGAGGAAGTTAAAATCCTTCTCTGGACCACTCGGGGAGCAAGCCAGCTCAGACACGAGAAGGCCTTTAAGGCTTTACCAACAGGTGTCCGATTAAAGAAGAGTCCTTTTCAAGGTCAGCTTTCACAGAATGACAGCATCACAGCTGGAGGGGACTAAAAATATTCTTCGTTTTTTAAAGAAGGGTGTGAGATTCTATGAACGTCCTAAGTGTCTGTGTGTGTGTGTGTGTGTGTGTGTGTCTTGGGGAAAATAGCTGTCGGTGGCTGCTGGTGCCCAAGTGGGCAAAGGAAAGGAAGGTCAACTGTCACTGGATCAGGATCTGGAGCCCCTCAATTTTACAGATGAGGAAACTGAGGCAGCAGAGAGGAAGAGACTGTCCCTAAGTCACACGGGGGTTTCAATCCGCCCAGCTGGGACAGGTCGGGAGAAAAGCGGGGCTCCTTCCTCTCGAGGGGCTGGAAGGGGCCTTAGGGGTCATCTGGCCCCTACCTCAATTTACAGATGAGGAAACTGAGGCCCGAAGCGAGGACGCATCTTGCCCAAGGCTACACAGGTAATAATAAGTGGCAGGGTCCTGAGTTCTATAACTTCTGAAGGCCCCGGGGTTCAGGGGTCTACAGTCCGGCTCCGCTCCCGCGGGGTGGCCTCCGAGAGAAACAGGAAGGGTAATGGGAATGAATGAGCCGCCGGTGCAGGCTCCCCAGCGCGCACGCGCTCGCGCATGCGCACACACCCACGGCGCCGGCCCCCTGAGCGGGCCGCCCTCCAGTCCGCAGGCGCGTCGCTTTCCCGCCCGAGGACCAAGGATGGCGGACGGACAGAAGGGAAAGGGGGTGGGCGGGGGGACGACCACACTCCGCGGTGCGCGCGCTCCCGATTTAATCCCTCCCCTCCTCGGGGTCCCCTCCGCGCCTCCAGCCACGGGCCACTTCCCGACTCACCCCAAACTCAGGTTCGGAGGCCGTGCAACTTCCCCCGCCGGGTCCGGGATTCCGGACCGCCCGGTTCCAACCTCTCCTCAGCAAGCCGGTGGGCGAAGCGCGCCTGCGCGGCCCCTTCCCGCCTTGCCGCTGGCCCTACCGGATTCCAGCCGCGCGTGCGCATTGGTCCGTTTCATCGCTCCCTACTGGGAGGTTAGGGAAGAGCCTCTCCCTGAGGGCTGAGAAGTACTAAGGAGCCCTGGAGGGATGAAGGCAAAGAGCTCGTGTTAGCAAAGGGTTCACTTCTTTTTTCATAAATGGATGCTCAAACAAAATAATGGTCATTATCAGGCAATTTGGAAGGGCCACAAGCAGTTTATCTAACTGGGTGACTCCGGGCAAGTCGCTTAACCTCAGTTAAGCCTCAGTTTCTTCATCCACAAAATGGGGATGATAATGGCACCCGTCTCTCGGAAGTCGTGAGGTTATAATGACAACATTTGGGAAGCGCTTTTCCAACCTTGACTGGTACTTCACTTCTAGCTACTACTATTAATTATTATTATTATTAATCACCAATTAGAGTTGGGAGCCAATTGACGTCTCAGCACTCTGGGCAGCTCTCTAAAGACGCTGATAGAGGAGGTTTCCTCTTCTGGACGGACATCAGTGAGATTCCAGGACCAGGCTCTCTCCCCCTCTCTATTCCGACATGTCAGGCCCCCGAAGACCTGAGTTCAAGTCCCCCCTCTGACTGGGGCAAGTCAGAGTCCTCAAAGTTCCAGTCAGCTACCTAAAATCAGAAGTTATTGAGGATTTGTCTGTGTGGGTTCAGGGGTGCAGTTTCCGTACTCAACTTCCCTACACCAATAAAAATCGCAGGCCCAGGAGAAAGTAAATGGTTCCACACTAGGCTTTCTGTTAGTTGCCTATTTCCATGTCTTTCCCCTGGTGAAAAAGGAGACAATCCTTCTCACATTTGGAGGATTTAATGAAGCACTTAGCCTTTTCTCCGGGCGGCCAAGAGACGCAGTAGGTAGAGGGCCAGGCCTGGAGTCAGGAAGACCCGAGTTCAAATGCAGACTCAAACACTTATTAACTATGTGACCTTGGGCAAGTCACTTAACCCTGTTTGCTTCAGTTTCCTCATCTGTCAAATGAGCTGGAGAAGGAAATGGCAAACCACCCCAGCATCTCTGCCAAGAAAACCCTCCACGGGGTCACGAAGAGTCGGACATGACTGAAGAACAATAAAAAACCTTTTCTGTGTCCTGCACCCTTTGGGCAGTCTGACAAAGGCCATGGAAGCCTTCTTAGGATGATGGTTTTTCAATGCAGAAAATCTAATGCGTAGGAAACCAATTTTATTGAAATACATTTATAAATGCACACGTGTGTGTGTATGTGTTTTAAGTTCACCATCCCCATGTTCAGAAACCAGGTTTTAATTCAAGGCTTTCAAAAATAAAAGATGTGAACAGTTATCTACTCCTGAATTAAGCAAATACCTCTTATTTAGGCTTCCTGCCTCTAGTCCCTTGCCTTAAATCCACTGTATAAATTACTGCCAGATTTATCTTCTTCAAATACTATTCACTTCATGTCATTACTTTATTCAAAACCACACAGTGACTCCTTATTAATGATCAAGTCCCAATCTAGCATTTAAGGTCCTTTGTAATCTACCCCCACTTCATTCCATTTCAAATAGGGTAAAGTCCAAACTCCTTTTACTGGGGTTGAGTGTTGGGGATGGAAATATAGAGAAGCAAAGAGCGCTCCTGTTGCTAAAGAGTTGACATTCTAAAGAGGGAAACAACACAGAGAAGAAAGTGGTTATCTAGGAAATGGATTGACAGACTCCAGGATCAATGGCATAAATAATTTAGTCTTGGTTCTTGGTAAATGGGAGGATTAATCCCTTGGAAGGGATTTCCTCAGAAAGGGCAGATGGGTCCTGGTGAGATAGTTGATGAAAAGGATTTGAAAGAGGTAGTTGGAGGGGAAGGACAGTGATGCAAGAAAATTATGAAAAGAGAATTGACAGCTTGGTAAAGAAGGCATAAAAAAAACCTTCAAGAAAATAACACCTTAAAAATAGAATTGGCCAAATGGTGAAGAAGGTACAAAATAATTCCTTCAAAATTAGAATTGGGCAAGTGGAAGCTAAGGACTCCATGAGACATCAAGAAGCAACATGACAAAGTCAAAGCAATGAAGAAATAGAAGAAAATGTGAAATATCTTATTGGAAAAGCAACTAATCTGGAAAACAGACTGAGGAAAGAGAAGCTTTCCCAATTTCCCAATACAACCAGGGGTGAAGCAAAGATACCCATTATCACATCTATTATTTAATATTGTACTAGAAATGTTAGCTATAGCAATAAGAGAAGAAAAAGAAAGGAATTAGAATAGGCAAAGAAGAAACAAAACTATCACTCTTTGCAGGTGATATAATATTATACTTAGAAAATCCTAGAGAATCAACTAAAAAACTACTTGAAATTGTTAACAATTTTAGCAAAGTTGCAGGATACAAAATAAACCCACATAAATCATCAGCATTTCTATGTATTACCAACAAAGTGCAGCAAAGCAAGATAAAAAGAGAAATTCCATTTAAAATAACTATAGAAAGTATAAAATACTTGGGAATCTAATTTGGGAATCTGCCAACATAAACCCAAGAACTATATGAACAAAATTACAAAACATTTTTCCCACAAAGAAAGATCTAAAAATTGAAGAAATATTAATTGCTCATGGGTTGGCCAAGTCAATATAATAAAAATGACTATTCTACTTAAATCAATTTAGTTATTCAGCTCCATACCAAACTACCAAAAAATGTTTATAGAGCTAGAAAAAAAATAACAAAATTTATCTGGAAGAATAAAAAGTCAAGAATATCAAGGGAATCAATGAAGAAAAATGTGTGAAGGAAGGTGGCCTAGCAGCCAGATCTCAAAGTGTATTATTAAGCAGTAATCATCAAAATAATATGATACTGGCTAAGAAATAGAGTACTGGATTAGTGGAATAGATTCGATATGTAATATACAGTAGTATATGACCATAGTAATCTACTGTTTGATAAACATCTAACCTAGTGTTTGACAAATCAAAGATCCAAGCTTTTGGGACAAGAACTCACTATTTGACAAAAATTGCTAGGAAAACTGGAAAGCAGTTTGGCAGAAACTAGGTATAGATCAACACCTCACATCATATATCAAGATAAGGTCAAAATGGGTACATGATTTAGACATGAAGGGTGATATAAGCAAATTAAGGGAGCATGGAATATGTTACCTGTCAAATATATGAGTAAGGTGAAGAATTTATGATAAAACAAGAGATAGAGAATATTAAATGATATAAAATAGATAATTTTGATTACATTAAATTAAAAAGTTTTTGCACAAATAAAACCATTGCTGATTTTGATTAGGTTAGATTTTTTTGTTAGATTAGATTAGATTTGATTTTTTATTAGATTAGAAGGAAAACAAAACCTGGGGAAAAAATTTTACATCAGGTTTATCTGATAAAGGCCTCATTTCTCAAAAACGTATAAAGAACTGAGTCAAATCTATAAGAGTAAGAGTCATTCTCCAATTTGATACAGGGTCAAAAGATAGGAAAAGGCAGTTTTCAGAAGAAGAAATCAAAGCTATCCATAGTCATGAAAAAATGCTCTAAATCATTATTGATTATAAATTAAAACAGCTCTGAGGTACCATCTCACACCTATCAGACTGGCTAACTTGACAAAAAGGAAAATAACAAATGTTGGAGGGGATGTGCAAAAATTGGGACACTAATGCACTGTTGGTGCAGTTGTGAACTGATCCAACCATTCTGAAGAACAATTTGGAACTATGCTCAAAGGGCAATAAAGCTATGTATACCCTTTGATCCAGAAACACCACTTCTAGGGCTGTATCTCAAAGAAATTTTTTTAAAAAGAAAAAAGACTTACATGCGCAAAAATATTTACAGCAGGTCTTTTTGAGGTAGCAAAGAATTAGAAATTGAGGGGATGCCTGTCAAGCTATGGTATATGATTGTGATGGAATAGTATTGTGCTATAAGAAATGATAAAAGCAGCATGATGGAAAATGCTGTCCACATCCAGAGGAAGAACTATGGAGTTTGAATGCACATCAAAGCATAGTTTGCTCTTTTTTTTCTTCTGTTTTGTTTTGTTTCTTCTTTCTCGTGGTTCCTCCCATTAGTTCTAATTCTTCTTTACAACATGACTAATGCGAAAATATGTTTAATAGGAATGTATAGATAGAGCTTATATGAGATTGCATGCTTTCTTTGGAGGGAGGAGGGTAGCGAGGAGGAGAAAATTTAAAACTCAAAAGCTTATGGAAGTGAATGTTGAAAGCTAAAAATAAATTAACAAAAAAATTTTTTTAAGTAGCTCAGAACCAACACATTGATGAACTCTGAGTGCATATGCAATTTTCCATAACTATAATCCCCTGAGACCTCTGTAAAGAATGGAGGGAAGTGTTTTTTTTTTCTTCTAGGATAACTATTACTAAAATTGAGGAAATAAAATATACTGTGCACACCTTGGGGAAGGGTCACTCTAGTTTGAAAAAAAAACCAGAGCAGTACATTGAAAAAAAAAAAAGAAATGATGAGCAGGTAGAGTTTAGAAAAACATGGAAAGATGTATGTGAACTGATGCAAAGTGAAGTGAGCAGAACCAGGAGAACATTATACACAGTAACAACAATATTGTACAATGATCAATTGTGAATGATTTAGCTCTTCTCAGCAATACGATGATCCAAGACAATTCTACAGGACTCATGATGGAAAATGCTAACCACATCCAGAGGAAGAACTGATGTAGTCTGAATGCAGATCAAAGCATGCTTCTTTTTACTCTATTTTCTGGAGGTTTGTTCTTTTGAATTTTTTGTTTGCTTGGCTGGTTTTTTTGCAACATGGCTAATATGGAAATATGCTTTGATATGCTATATCAAATTCCTTGCCTTCTTAAGCAAGGGTTTGGGGAAGGAGGGAGAGACTTAGAAACATAAAATTTGAAAAATGGATGTTAAAAATTGTTTTTACATATAATTGGAAAAATAATTTTAAGAAAAGGTATA